TAGTCCTCTTCCACATACCAAAGTCGACCGCCACCAGTCCTGTTGAGCCAGCCGCCGCCTTCTTGCCACCAACAACCTCCAACAGACCAGTCGGCGCCACCACACCCGACGCCCCTGCAACTCGACAGAAATTCGGTGTTTTGCCACGTAATCAGTCTCCGATCCGCCGAACTCCATCGGGATGACCGCTAGAGCATCGAATCCATCCGCCTAGGGATAGCCGGAATATGAGATATGCAAATTCGCCGAGTAATCGGAGCCGTCACCGTTCTCGCCGGACACTGGGTGATTGGAGACGCTGATTTGGTCGATCACAACATAACTACTTTCACTATTTGGGGCTGATGAAAACCGAATCTGGGTAAGGAAGAAGAATGGTCTATGTTGTTGTTGGAATATGAATTGGGGGTTACATTGGAAAATTTGATATGTTACAAGGACTTCATAGCAATTTCTTAAATTTTAATATATTTCAATTTAGTACACGAGGCAAATCGATAATTAATAAAAAATACAGAGACTTTGATGCAATTTCTGAAATTTAAATATATTATATTTTAGTTCATGGGTAAAATTTATAAATGAACAAAACTTTATAAATGCACAATAATGTTCAGTTCAGTGCACAACTATTGGGTGTATATGCACATTAACAAAAATCGACTGGATTTTCCATATCCGAGCTACGTAATGCACACTATAGATAAACTAATTTATCTAGCCGCACATTAACGGTTATAAGAATGCGCAATGACATAACATTGTATTTTTTTATTATTTTTTTCACGCGAGGTATGTGAGTGGAATATAAGCTAATGTGCATTCTCATATGCATTAATGTGCACTCAATACAAGGATATTGTGCACCCCGACTAACAGTATTGTGTATTCTCACAAATTTACGAATTTGGCACCGCGATTAGTGTTGTTCATTGATCGAACCGGCCGACCGAAATAACATCGTCAAACTATTGAAAAAAAAATAAACAGACTGATATTTTCTCCTAAACGAATCTAAATACGAACTCAAATAATCGATTTATCTGGTCAGTTATAGAACTAATCAAAATAGTCAAAATAAAATATTATTTATTTTATAAAAATATATTTATTACTTTAATATTTTTTATTTTAATATTTCATATTACTTTTTTGGATAAACTACATATATATAATGTAAAAAATAAAATATTGGTCACATAATGCGGTTTGTTGATGGACGGATCCAATCAACGGTTAAATAAAAATTTAATGTTGGAAGAAATAGAAAATAAAGATGTAATACGAGAAAAATGGGTTATTTATATTAATTACGAGATCGACCTCTGATAATGAGATCTGTACTTTTGTTACGCTTTGGGGTTCTTACAGGAATTTATTACAGATTTGTAGAGAGAGAAAGTAGTAGTTGAGAATTCCAAACCCTCAAATAAATGAGAAGGGTCTTCTATGTATAGTAGCCTTAAATTCAGCACTGTTCATGCACTGTTCATGTTTTTCCGTTGTACAGTGATCCCGCAGAGCAGGTCAGCATTGCCATGACAGATATTAAAGGTGATTTGAGGTTTTTCTAATCATTACCTGTCAGACATTAAATGCTCTCCAGAATAAGTTGAATTACAGGCTATGGAGGTGCATCCCATCGGCAATCATTAGCTGACAAGTGACAATATTTTATTAGTTCTGGGTCTCAGAGGCGTCCAGGAGCCGACTTCAGAAAATATTCAGGTCGGATCTTCTCCATTAATTTGTTCCCTAAGCTTCGGGACCCCATGTCCCTGTTCGGCGCCCCACAAGGTCCGCGTCGCTCCTGGGCAGCCAAGGCGCCGATTTCGAAGCTGGTGCCGCTCGTCGTTCCGATTAATTCTATTTCTCGGTCAACTCGGCACATCGTAATCACTCAAAGACCGGTCTGGGTTTTTAGGTCGTCTCTCCTCGGTTCCCTGTCATTGAACCGAGAATCGCATATTAGCCTAATTCGGATATCTACACGGTTGTTTTGGACATTGTGATTATTTTAAAAATAAAGCCAATATCAAACTGGAATAACCGGAAATGTAAACGTGAGAAACCAAAAAATATGGGGAATTTTGATATTTTCAAACAAAGTTGTTTAAGTCACTAGTGCAATGCTAAAGTACAATATCATACACACTATTGTGTATACTGTCTATCACTATTGTGCATTATACATTATTAAAAATATAATATAGAAATTATGCATTTATTAAATTTATCACAAATGAAACCAAAATCGAACCAAAATATTATGTTTATTTGGTCGGTTAACCGAATTAACCATAATAACTGAATTTTTATTATTTATATTATAATAACATATCAGTATTTTAATATTGTTATTTAGTAGTTGATATTTAATTTTTGCTTCAATGTAATAATGTAGTAATATAAAAAAAAATTATAAAAACGAAAACAATATATTTGATTTAGTTTGTTCGGTTTGGTTATTCCGATTTTGGTCGAATTTCTCAATTTTTATATCAGTATTGTATAGTCTGTATAGAGGATATTTTGTAATGTCTATATACACATGTTTATTGTCCATTTTAATTACTATTAATGTGCATTTATTAAATTTCTGATAAATTACATCTTTTTAAATTTATAACTTTGCAACTAAGACCCTAGAAGATATCAAATTTTTAAAAACAAAGTCCCCCAATTTCAACGTGGTTCACGTTTCTCCCCGTCAACTTAGCCTTGTACTTGCCGCCTGAGCCTCCCGGCCGTTCTCTGCTCCGCCAAGACCTAGCCTGAAGAAAAGACATCCACGACTGTTAAGGTGGTTGGTCATCGGTCCTCGCCATCTACACCTGCCGGCGATTGAGATTTGCGGCGGAGGAAGACGGTGACAGAAACGGGACGGACGGTGGTCGACGGAGAGAGGACGACGGTAATGAGAGCTCCAGACGCCGAACCAGATGGCGGCATAGACGGTGGTCGGTCGGAGCTGCTAGAGAAAATATGGGCTACGGGAGGTGGGCCAACAGTGGCTGTCGACGGAGACGAATCAACAGTGACAGCGGCAGATCTATGATGGCGGGCGGTGGGCCGACAGTGGTTGTGGACGCCGGTGCTGGTGAGCCGGCGATGAGTTTTTCCCGTCTCGTCTGTATGTGGATGTGTGTGTGTAGTGCATGAATGCATGTGTGTGTGTGTGAGAGAGAGAGAGAGAAAGAAGAGAGATAATGAAAATAGNTTGATTGTTTTTGTGGTGGGACTCAGTGATGTGGTTAATTGTTGAGGATAAAAAGTCCAAAATGTCCTTAATGAAGGTATAATTTTGCCTTTTTTTTCAATCATTAAATTGTTTGATTTGATGGCTGAGATTTATTTTTATTTCTATATGCCTACTTCCCTCAGATATAGACGCCGTCCAACTCTTGCTTGATGTCGCGCGCCCTTCGTTTGCAGATGTCATTTCGCCATGAATAGGAGAAATTTTAAAATTAAAATGTACAAAGAAAATATTTGAAACTTAGTCTTACGGGGAATTTGAAATTTCATACAAACGAAGCACAGAAACAGCCTAAGGGCAGTCGAGAGCGAAAAAGCAAGTATGGAGAGTTCGAAATTTTGAAAATTACCAAAGTAGAGCCTAAAGGGGAAAAGGTCCTTATACTTATAAAGGAATTTTGGTGCCCGTTGGTTAACATGCGCATGTAACTGACGTGTCCAGGTGAAGCATTTCAAATTTCCCATTTAAGGTGGCTGGTCCAATCAGAAATTAACACGTGCAAAGCCACTGTTTCAGACTAAGTAGTCGTTTTTTGGATCCCTTGAATGCATTAAATATAAACGCGCCTTTTCGTAATCGGGCGACTGTCTAAACCATCGTATCGCTCCGCATTGAAGACCATCAATTAAAGTCAACCATATTTACAGTTTTTGCGCTGAGTACTCCAGGCGGCCTAGGAAAACAACGAAGATATCAGAAGTTAACACTACTCGTATGCCTTCTAATTTCGGGGGCCTCTATGTTGACAACTGACCTAGCTAGAACAAACAGAATAAGCCACGTGGAGGGTTAGTCAACCGACCTGGCTAGACCATACAGAATGAGCCACGTGGAGGGTTAGTCACAGGCCCGACTAAGAAGAGCTCGGCGTGAACCGGAAGGGGAACCGACCTTGTTGATGAGCCGAGGACCGATTTCCATGTGAGGCCGAGATCAGGATAGAGTACTAAATGCAGACGGGACGTCCCACACTTTCATCATTACTTGTGGGACCACCTGGAGACTAGCTGCCCCTAGCCGTTAAATCTCATTTAATGCAGCCAAACCAGCCTCGAATAACGAGCATGGGATTACTATAAAATAGCATCATTTATTCTTGTACAAGTGTCTTTTTTTCGACACATTTAATACACATATAAAATAGCTTGGCTCAGTTAAAAACCGATTTCTTGTACTTGAATCTGATTTTAGTATAATACAAATCCTACCATTTTACAGCTTTTAATTTACTTAATCCATATGATTATAGTTGTTAAATTTCATATAAGTAGTAGTCGCCGAATTAAAGATACGGGCAATTTATCGCTTCCGCTACAAAAGGTCAATCCTATAATTATATATATCATATAAAACTACCTTACAAACTATACTGATAATATCGATAGTGGAATTGGGTTAGTTGAATTATTTTTAGTCAAATAAATTGATTGGTTAAAAATGATTGAATTTGTTTAAGAAATCTTGTATCCAATCATAGCTATTAACTTGAATACAAAAAGGCATATAACTAAATACTCACATGTACCGGCCAAAATACATGACTAACCAGTTCAGATAAAAGATTTCATGTAATCGGACGGACAACATTGGCGGCATCGGGGACGACGTATGTGAAATACCCTAGTTTGAACTTCAGGGCGTAAATAGAGGAATAAAAACTGGTGATGGGATAATTAAATTTCCATTAATGATACATTTTAAAATAGTTTGGAGAGTGTCCTTAATCTCCTATACATGCCCTTCACGGAATATACTTCCAATGCTTGTACAATAATGATTTCGGCCTCAACTGTACAAAAATAAAAACAAAAAAGTATAAGATTGTTAGATCTCTAAATCAAAATTTCTAGTAAAATTTAATTGAATATGTAAGGAAAAGAAAATATGTATTACTAAATAGATTACATCGTTGTTGTGACCACATTTTTTCTTCCTACAGTTGGTAGCCCGAGGGTGCANTTCAGAGCCAATGCCAAGAGAGACGGTGCAAACTTGGCAGTGCCACCACCCCTAAGCCTCAAAACCAAATGCAAAGTAGACTCTGCAATATTGCATTTTTCACTAATTAAGTTTTTTATATAAAAAAAAAAAAATTAAGTAAATAAACTCGTATTGTACTTTAGAACTTGATATGAACAAATTTTGAAACGTTCTGTCTTAAAGATATGTAACTGACAAATATAAGGGGAAAAATAAGAAAGTCGAAAGTCGATAAAACCTTTGACAATGTTATAGTCAGAGAGAGTGTGTCCATCTTCGAGTTGCTTTCCGGCGAAAATCAAACGTTGTTGATTTGGTGGAATTCCTGAGCAAGAAAAAAAAACACAAATATGACAAAAATCAGATGAACTTTGTAGTAGTAATAATAAATAAATTAAATAAAAAGAAGTAAATAATGATTTGAAATTAAGGTGTAAATAAAATACCTTCCTTGAGGTGAATCTTATCCTTGACATAATCGATGGAGTCGGAAAAACCAGCCTCGACTGTAATGGTTTTGCCGGACAAAGTTTTGACGAATATCTGCATATTTTTAATTAATTAATTTTCTGTTTTGTTTGCAGATCGAGGAGATTTGTAGGGATAGAGTGAGTTTATACATATCAAATATGAGTGAAACAAGGGAGGACAGGTCATAATTCAGTTTTTACTTGCCCATCACGAATACTTGCCCACCAGGTATATCTATAGTAATTTTGGTAACAAATTTGACTTGGGCACAATAATATAATTCTTTACATTTAGTATTAAATGCCGTTTCAAATAAAAATAAAATAAAACAAATTACTAATTCAAGTTTTTTGAATGGCTTCCAATAAAAATGTTTTACCATCGACATATTATGTTGGGTGGTGATTTTATCATGGTTTCTAAAACCTTATAACTTATGTTTGTGATAATATTTACCAGCACTTTGCATATTTTGGTCTGACATGTTTATTTACTGGTTTTTTTTTTTTTCATTGGTGGCTTGACTGCAAGAAGATGTATATAATTATTAAGATACCAATAGAAAATTTTATTAAGATACCTGTTGTAAATTATTAAGAAGTTGAAGTTGATGATGTATATAAACTGCAAGAAACTGATAAAACGGCCGGCATATGATAAAACACACCGATTAATTAACAATTGTGTTCTTCATTTTGATGGTAACTGTTAAGTATGAAATGTTAACTTTTTAAATTACTATTTGAAAAATGAATTTAACAATTTATTCATTACCAGATAGCAGATAGAAGTCATGTCCTTATGGTTATTTATAGCAAACTAAATCCATGCATTTACAATAACGATGGTCATCAAAAGAGGGGCACAAAGTATGACACATCAATAAGCTTAGCCTTAAAGGAAGGGGGATAAGAAGGTGAAAATCTCATTTAATTGTCATTTGCAACCAAATGGGCTAAACTTATTAGCATTTTAGCTAATGACTAGGAAAATACTAATAATTTTAAGCAATTTACATTCTGACATAAGTTCTCTTCAACAAAAATTTGGCACAACATTCTCATAAACACAACAATTTCTAGCACCAAATTCTGCCATGCTTATTGGAAAAAGAAGATGAAGGAAAAAGTAATCAAACTTGAAGCAAATCAAAAAGTTTCAATCTAACCGAAAAAGAACCCAAACTTGAAGCAAATTAAAAGTTTTAATCTAACTTAAAAGGCTTACTACATGTCATGTTGAATATTCTCACCCATCCAAATACTTGAATAAAATTAGAACCCTAAGCTTCACCCTTGAAGCAGGCAGACAACCTCACCTCACATATAATCGCATAATCTTATGGATGCATACAGATTTCATGCACCAAAACCATCAACCCAAAAAAAGGAGAAAAGTCGATGCAAACATGCATACCAAATGCAAAAGCTGATAGCACCTAAACTCGATGCAAAAGATGCAATATTTTTGCAAGTGGTGATTTTTAGCTTCTTCCTTCCAACTTAGTCGGGTTTTTCGGAGCTCTAAAAGCAAATATGCCTTTCATCAGATCGACTGCAGTGTCTGTGTTGCAGGCTTGTGGTCGTGATGATGATTGCTTCAAAATATCGAGCAATGAAGTCCTTGATGATGTCTCTAAAGCAGATTGTCGGCTTTGGCTTGTGAATTTGGTCTGCGAGCTGATATACTTAGCAGTTAGAGTCCTGGTGGGTCGAGCTTCTTGAGAAACCTGCATGTGACAAGAAGATGTGGCATATCTTATTCATAGGCTGTTGTACAAGTTCAGGATTACTGCATGATGAAATTAATGAAGCATATTTATATTCAAGGTAGCAGTACAAAAAGAAAAATAATGGGAACGAAGCAATAACAGTATGAAGAATACTAATAAATGCAATCTAGTGCTGCAAACACCACATATAACCTCCTTTATGGTACAACGCCTACAAACCTGATTGCACATAAAAATCCACATATATCACTGGTGAGTAGTTACAAACACACCATATAGCCCTTTGAGGTAAATACTTTTACAAGTTAGCCCATAAGGTTCAATTGTAATATAAACACAGGTGCCAAGATGTATCCATTACTAATATTTAAAGAGTATTTATGAATTTAGACTAAGATCTAGATCTCGTAACTTGTTGTATCATGTTTAATGCAAAGAAACTCACAGTATCTGAAGAATCCTCTGAAATTGACATAGAACTTCTGCTATTACTGTCATCCCTTCCAAAAATAAAAGATCGAACTGCTCCTGACCCTTGCTTGTGAGATGATGACATTGAATGATTTGATACTCGTCCAAGGAAAGATGACTGCATTTGACATTCAAATCAAATATTTCAATTTCCTTGTTATCCAGAGCCCAGTACATGAAAATTGCATTTGCAAGGGAATCCTCACCATGAGAATCTAAGGGGGAGAGGGGAAAGAAAGAATATATTATGTCCGGTTAAACTGGCATGCACAGGGAAATTGCAGAATAGAACACTAGGTGATAAATTGTAGAAGGCTCTGCAACCTCAACATAAGCATACAAATCTTTAGGGGCCTGATATGATTTAGATATAATTTAATTCTCATACTCAACAGAATAACATCACTCATCCAACAGCATTAAGTAATCATTCTTTGTGAACAAGATTATGAGGAAGGTGCTCTGCAATGGACCGCATGAACTAACAAGATTGACTTTCAATGCTCTACTACTACTCATATATTCCCAAGTTTGTGAATGACTACCTTTGAAGAGCTGTTGCTATTTCCTCCCTTTAACACCGTGTCAAAGAATGCTGCATACAACAAATGATCAGTATGGGAAACTGTTTAAACACTTGTAAATATTCAAAAGAAAAGGTAAGACAAGTCTTACACGTTGCTTTTGGTTTTTTCTTATTGTCGGGGACAATATTTAGCTTCTTAATAAGACCAAAGACTTCCCTGGAACTCTCATCTTCAGCAGGTGACACAACAGTAGTCTGCTTTTCCTGTTCAAGTTCAATAAAGAACAGCAGCCATTCAACGCATCAGCCTAAACCAATAAAGAACTGATGGAAACAAGATTACTGCCCATCAAATTAGAACACATTAAACACAACTCACTTTTCTAATAAGGAGACGACGTGCATGCCGTCTTTGTGTGTCATCATCATCATCATCTGATACATAAGCATCGTCTTTGTCAGTCAACATCTCTAAAATTATCTGTTTGGCCTTTTTCGTATTTATTCTGGCAGAATTCCGTGGAAGAGGATTTTCTTCCCCTTCATCACTTTCGTTGTCAATATTGTCATCATCATCGTTGTCACCAAGTTCTTGATCATTCTCATCAATTTCAGGTTCCTTATCCAGTAACATTGCTTCTCTGAGTCCCGAACCAAAATTCAATTTCTGCATAAGCTTATCAGTTCCCGCAGCATCTTGCTGCTCAAGCCACTTCTGATGAAGTTCATTACGCCTTTCATTGTCGATGGACCTTTCTTCGTACCCAGTTGCTATCATATCATTAAGTTCAACAAAATCTTCAGCATCCTCAGCATCATCATTTTCTTTGAAGCGACTAAGATCGTTATCACTGTCATCTTCTTCCTCTGCTTCATCATCAATAAAGTCTTTTGCAAATTCACCTTTTGGACTTGAGCTACCATCGGCAATTCCACAAGGATGGGGATCAACATTCTCTTTGTCATTATCATCTTCATCTGAAGCACTGGGAATTTTTAAAAAATGGTTGTCATTTTCTGTTGTGAAACATTCTTAGTAAGTGATATTGCAACCACATGAGACAAGCAGACTCAATGTGACGGTAGTTACAGAAAAAAGCTGAAAAGTCGACTACAAAATTGGAAAGCCTCAGGCATGGCAATTAAAAGACAAGTCCCAACATCCACTAACCTGTCATCAACAGGAGCTGAATCAAACTTCAAGTTCAAAGTAAGCAAGGATGGAGCAAAATCTTCTTCCAGAGGACTACTTGGTTCATCACTTGCTGTGGCTGTTATACCATTTGGTTCTAAAACATCAAAAAGATCCTGAAGAAATAAATTTGGATAAGCAATTTGAAAAATTAACATCAGCAGGAATCACCAGCTTCCTCAAACAAATTTTGTTAGGTAACCTCTGTGTCAAACACTGGTGCTCGAAATGCAGGTGGTGCATCTTCAACTGGTGACTGCAGCAAAGAAGTGAGAAAAATTATTAAGGTGCAATGCTTGAAAAAAGTAGATTCCAACAACTTATGGTGTTTCCTACATTATAGGAATATTTATGTAACTTGAGAAAAATAAAAAGTAACATCAATGAACCACACAAGAAGTTTGATATATAAGTTTAAAATCAAATGAAAAGAAATACAGGACGTCAAAAAGTAAGCACAAACTTGTTGCAGATGATTCTCATTAATTGTCTGTTTAGCAGTGTCTATGAGTCCGTCCATACTGGAAGCAGCCAAGCTACTTGATTCTTCCAGGGAAGGCCCAACTTTCTCCTTTTCCACTAATATTTCCAAAATTTCTTCTTCCCTCTCTTCATAAGAGACATCAAGGTCCGCTATTCTATCTTTTGGACTGATACTTCCATCATAAACATAGTTCTGGTCTTTTATGTCCACAAATCTGCTATCCAACAAACAATTTCCATAGAAACATGCCAAGCAAATCACATCCAAGAAAATACTCAAAATTTGAAGCACAAACAAAGTAAAAGAGCAATCTACCCACTTCTTTGAGATTTCGAGCTTTCGCTTCCGTATTTTATCTAAAACTGATGATATAGGCTTCTGCACCACTGGTATAGGTTTAAATGATGCATCCCTTGTTTCTGCCCAGTCACACATTTACCCCATACAATCTCAGAAGTGCACAAGAAATAACCAAAAGAAGTAACCACCTGCAACTCAAACACACTGAAGGTGCACGACAAACCTCGTAATAACCTCTGAGATTCAGCATGAAGCTCCTTCAGGTAAGCATTCCTTTCCTGCAAAATTACGACAAAAAAAAAAAGAAAAGAAAAGAAAAAAAGAACCATCATAAGTTACGCACCATTACAAGTTTACAACTTCACCCAAGAGCCACAGAAAATAAAACCATAACTGATCAACCTATGGTACCTTTTTTTCTGTCCTTTTATTTGTACCCCGCAAATTGGTCTGCAACTCATCACCACCATTACTGTCCCCACTCTTCTTCTGCTTCTTCTTCCTGTTTATCTTCATATCATCGTCTCCTTCACCAAGCACATCCTCTTCCCCAGTCCTTTGCTTCCTGTCCTTATCCAGCTCAAACCCCTCGAACCCTTCGCCTGCATCACCACCACCCATCACAGGATCATCAAACTCCAAAACCCTCTTTGTTTTCTTAACATTCTCAAAAGGCCCACTTTCCATTTCATCCTTATTCCCCATCCCGCTCTCATCATCATATCCCTGCGATGGCGGCTTCCGGGATAAACCTGCCTCCTCGGTAGAATCTAAGTCGTCGGAAGATGAATCGGGAGTTGCCGTACCATTCTCCAAAGCTTCCAATCTCGCGAAATCTTCGTTGGGAAACAACAGCGGGTCGTCGATTGATATGAGCAGAGGATCATCTGAGGGTTTTGAGCTGGATTTCTTCAAGCGCTTGAGACGCCGGTGTTGGACTTGCGGCGACTGTTCCTTTGGCGGCGAGAACGACTGGTAATCGTCGTCGCTGTCCATAATATCGGCGATTTTCACTCGGAGGAAGGGAATTGGAGGAGAACAATTAAACAATCTTATGATTAGATCTGAAATGAGAAGATAAATTGGGGGGAAATTGTTCGGGGAAAGGGTTTTAGGCGGCAAAAAGGTTTGATTTTTGAGGAACGAGCGGAAAACGTTTAACCGCGAAAATGTTCCTGCATTTCGGGCCTTGATTTCACAAATTTTTAGGCCGTTTGCAGTTGGACCCCCTGCCTTTTAGTTTATTCGTTAGCTTACCCGATATTGTAACAATTATTAATTTCGGGCAACTCTTAACGAGTCAATAATCGAGTTTGAGCGCGATTCATCTATCAATACTAATGGGTCAAATAATATAAATTTATATAACACACATATATATATATGTATATTTTTTAGTTTTATCGAGTCAATACGTTTATCAAACGAATCGAGTTAAATTCTTATAAAGCGTTAACGAGCGGTTCATTTCGTTTAATAATTCTAATTGGCACCCACTCAAATGAGTGTGATGTTATTAGAAACTTTTGATGAATGTTGACGTAATGATTTTTGTACCCAACGTCACATTGATATACATATTTTAACCATTGGCATTGACTAACAAAATAACTTTTTTAGACTTTTAAGTTTTAACCTAAAATCAAAATTAAATTTAATTAAACTAATTCTCTCTAATATTATTATCATAATTAAATAATATCTCTTAGTTGATATCATAAACTACACTAATTTTAATTTACTTATTAGATTGAGTAATTCTAACTACTTATTATTTTTAATAATTTATTTATTACTTTACATATCATTGCAATAGTTTATCTTTTAATTTTTTTTTCTTTTTTTTCGAAACAATAGAGATTTTATATATAACCAAAAAAATCTACAAAAGTACAATCACCAACTGAATACAAACAGGCAACGACTGAATAAAAACAGCCAACAACTGAATAAAGTGGGAGAACAGTGAAACCACCGCCTAGAGTCGACCCCAACAGGGTAATACTCACAAACACACAAAAACACTAACACACAAAAAAACAACGAAACTAAAACCCAACAGGGTAATACCCGAGTGTCGGATCCCGACAGGATAATAAGGTGACACACGGGTTAAATTAAGCCAACGGCCCAAACCTAAAACACAAAGGCAAACACAAACACAGATACTAAAACACTAAACAAGAACAACAAATAATCTAAAATAAACTAACAGCTCTTCCCCGACAAACAAGCAGTCTCCGCCAGCAATGAACAATCGGCACAAGAAGGAGTCGCGGCCGAGAAACCACTATCGAAATTGCGCAACCGCTTATACAGTAGCTGAAACCGAGCCCCAAACCATTCCCTGAATCGACCCACGTCCAACCGAAAGAAAATCGGCCAACCCCCACTATCACCTCCCGAACCCATCTAACACCAGTAGTCGAGCCCAAAAGGTCCCCACAAATAAAATGTATATTTTCTATAAATGTATATTTTAATTTTACATCACATCAATATTAATCATTACATTTATATATATAATAAAAAGTATATTTTCTATAAATAGTATGATTTCCCAAAAAAAATGTACTTATTGTGAAAAAATGTTAAGCACCTTTCTTTTTTCTTTTGAAATTTCATCCATAGTGATACTTCATTTTATTATTTTTAATGGGATATTAATAATTCATTTAAAACTGTAAATTAAACTTTTCAAAAACCCCGTAAAATAGGCAGCAAGTCACACTGCACCTCGTACTATAGTTTTTGACTTCACTTCGAATTATTTTATTTCATCTTAATATAGTTGTATTTAATTTTCAGTGATGTTATCAATGATTGAGATTAAATTTTCTGAAAATTTACAACAAATTATTCAATTTATACCTAATCTATACTTTTTTAAAATGAGAATATAAATTAATGGATATGCATAGATTAATTACACTGAGGATAATTTTTTGTATGCCTTAAAAAATATTGAAATTTAAAATATTTGTTGGAACACTCAAAGAGCATTTTTTCTAATATGATATTTTTTCCTACTTGTTTTCCCTTTTATTTAAGTATTAGTGTCATTTTTCTTTCAAAGCTAACTAACATCTCGATTTATTCATATAATAGATATAATGAATGTATGATAAATGTTTAATATAAAGTAACCTACCGTCGTAATTGTTATATTTATCCCTCACGAGTTTAACAAATTAATGCTAACAATAAATATAAGTAAACAACTATTTCGAAAAAAAGTATATATGATATTAAAATGATAAAAATCAATGGTCCAACTATCATATAAACAATTACGCGATAAAGAATCAAAATATTTATAATATGCAGTATAAAAAATTATGAAATAAATGACTCGTATGTCAACATACCATTTAAATTATAAGTATAGAAAGGAAAAAAATATTATAATATATATATTACAAATTATGATGACAAAAAAAAATGTATCATCTGTCAAATTATCCATGTAAACTATTAACTTAGAAAAAAATAAATACTTATAATATATATTGTTATAAATTATAATGATAAATAAAAAAAGTCATATATCGAACAACAATAATAAATCGTTAGCTTAAGAAAAAAAACAACCAAAATATTTTTTGTTATAAATTACAAGTTTATAAAAATAGTGTCAAACTATCAAATGAATCATTATATTTGTAAGAAAATTCAAAATATTTGTAATATACAATAAAATAAAAAAATATTACGTAATATAAAAGTAGCGAATGTTATTACTTTTCGATAATATACAATATGTCCGTTTTGAATTAAATATCGATTATAACATTTGATATAATTTTTTTATCTTACAATAACTTATTTAGGAAATGAAATAATATAAAGTACGAGTAAATGGAGAGAGAGAGAGAGATTCTTTGAGAGTATTATTGTCAAATCTCCATTTTTTTTTTTAATTTTAAACAAAAACTCTACAATGACATATTTTATGACCGGTGAAATAGACATATAAATAGTATTTAAACTATTATACATCATAAAAATAAAAGAAAAGGTAAAAAATAATATTAATATTCAAAACTAATTTTACACATCAACATTTCTTTAATGCTATAATTTATACAATGTATCATGATAAATTATTATCATGTACATCGCACGAACAATGTACTAGTTTTAAATATTATTTAAATAATACCTCAAAATCTGAATCAAATTTTTCACTTAATCAACTTTTTTTTTTTAAATATACTAAATTTATATAATAAAACCAAGCAAACCATAAAATTTCATATCCAATATAATTTCTTACAAAAATCCATACAGTTACAATGAAATACTATACTCATTTATATTGTATTTTAAAATACAACATTTTGAAGTGAAAGTGTCCACGTATATATATTGAAGTAATATATATGTTCAACAATTAAACATAAACAGTAACAAAATGCCTACTATTGGTCAGTGATCTAAATTCTAAGGTGCTATAGACTATACATGCATTGTAGCCATTAAATAGCCGAGTTAAATTTGGACCTTGTAGTGTTAGGTTATCATATCAACTGGCACAATGTTGGTACGATTACGCGAACAATTTCCTTCAATTGGCACACGAACCATTCATGGTAAATTGAGTTCATGGTGCAAGACCATTCATGAAATCAAAATACCACGAAGATTGTGCACTGAATGAATCACAACTCGGTGAAACTTACTCACAAGATACGTAACTGTACCTGATACGAATTTCAAGACAGAAACATGGACCAATGGATTCAAGCAGATAAAAATGGCTTAAAAGTTTGCTGCAACTGTAAGCCAGTTTGCAAAATTATGAAGAACAAATGCCATGATTAAAAGATTGATTACATCCAGTCTGTTATAAGATTGTTGTCCACACTGAACCCTTGCAGCGGATGAACAAAGGCAGTAAGAAATCACATTTCAAATTCCCAGGTAGACTCGGCAAATACTTTTGGTATTTTCCGCTCGTCTGCCAAATTGACGGATGTTGTAACCTGCATATACGACAATTGAATTAACAGAGCTAGCATCAAATCACCTTTTCAATTGTATTAAATAAAAGGTATTGTGCCTAAATCTTGTGAGAACGGGCAAGAAAGATTATCATGAGCTTGTGAGGTCGAAGTCTCTTAACTGTTTACATTACAGTACAAACTCTGCAATTATTTGCAACTATCTGGATTTACATGTGTTATGCCCCACTAGTGAACCCCATAAAAGATGCATTAAAAGCCATTGTTAAATCACATGAGTTTTGTAATATTCAAGTCATGTTGGAATCTTAGGATTATTGAGATTCCACAGCACATACACAGAAAACAGACTAACCATCAAGTTTATCATGAGTAGTACAAGAAAGCTGCACAATTTTCAGAATACTATCCAAAGGTCGGAAGAAGTTTGTGTTTACTAATGAACAAAGAATCTGTTATCGCTCTGAAATCTGCATAAACAACAGTTGTAAAGATGTGTTGCAAATTATGATGGCCACTCAAAAAAGCATCACAAGGTCAGGACAATTTTGCACCCTCATATTTTAGCTCATTTACAGAAGAATATGTAACTATTCAATACATTCAAATTGGTTTATTATTGCAGCTAATCACTATAAAAAACAATAAAATTAACAATAACAATAATATTGAAAATCGGAAAGCTCATCAACTTGCAAAGAGAGTCAAAATCATTTCATCTAGCAATCCTTCATTATCAAATTTCAAAATAATTTGGACAGGGAATATTGAATTACGTCCAACAAGCAAGTACTGAGAGCCGAGATCACTTGAAAAGACACTTAACAAGATTTCATTATTTAATCAAGTTTATACTCCAATACACCCAAATGCAAAATAGTCAAAAGAACATATTTCATTTACCTTGACCGTGCCTTGCTCTAAACTCTGAAACCACTCGAGCCCCAAATTCTTGCTAGATGTCTGATAGGTAGCCCGGAGCATGCTATTGGTCGAAAACATATTTACCTTGCGCGAAACTGCAAAATCCCATGTATTCTTCCCCAAATCGTAGCTCGGCTCGAATGTTGTCAGCCCTCCATGTGAATAACTGTACTTCAACTTCGTATTGCCGGTACCAAGCACGTGATTAGCAGAGACCTTGTTTGCAGAATCAATCACCAGTGTCCCATCCAATATTGTCCGTTCATCCCCTTTACTGTGAATGTAGGTCAATTTCAACGGTTTCTCTGCCACTTTAACAGTGTTCATGAACTGAAACCTAAAATCCTGTGGGCATAACCAACAAAAGGCAAATTACTGTGCATAACGGAGATAAAAAGGGAGAAGGTTAATAAGATCAGATCACGAAAATTAGGTTCCCAAAATCCGAGTATTTAATCGTAATAATATCGATATCCACTTCAAGAATCTCTAATCGACGAGAATAAGGGCGATTTAATCAATCGGTGCTGACCTTTTTGGGGACGTTGTAGTCGACCATGAAGAAGCCAGGTTTCTCGATGCCTAAGGCTAGGCCGTTCAAGCTGGGGCCGGAAGCGACGGTGGCGTCGGTCATGGAGGCGCGGAGCTTGAAGTCACCGGCGTTGACTGCCACGGTGGAAGCGGCGGTGAGTTTGTCGAGGTCATGCCTAAGTTTGAACGACGCCTTCATCATTTTCGGGAGAATTTGGTGAGGATTCTGAAGCTTGGTTGACAAGTGATAACTGATAAAGAGATTAGAATAACCATTTAATTTAACCAGTTAAAAGCGTAAAATGGAGTCGGATTTACAATGTGAGATATGGGGTGTGGGGAGTTGGGTCGGATTCGGGTCCTCAAATAAAAAATTTGGAAAAGTAAATCACACTCTACTTGACTAGAGCTGTCAAAACTAGTCGGCGAGACAGGACGGGTTGGCCCGCTATGCCCGTGGGTCTAGGAAATGGCAACTCACCCTACGCGCACAGGCGAGCCGCGGGTTCGCCTGCCAAATATTAAAAAAAAAAATCATATTTTTTTAAGACGTTTAGACACTTTTAATATAAATTAATAATCACCATTAACTAGTGAAAATGATTTTTTTTTTTCTATTATTTGCATATATTTTGTTGGGGTTAGAATTTGTAGATATATTTATCACTTTGTAATTACTATCTAAATTAATTATTTTAATTACATAATTTTCTTTTTCTTTTTATTGTTATTTGTTTGTCGGGCTAACCCGCAGACCTTCCCGTCGTGGCCCGCACGAGCTCGCCCATTTAGGTCCGCTCCCTGTCGGACCTAAAAAAAGGGCGGGACAGACGCAGGGCGTCCCTAGGCTTTGGCCTATTATGACGACTCTATACTTGAGTAGATAATTTAATATTACAAAATCATTTGCAGGAGAGATAATTTTGTTGACAAACATAAACATCACATGTAGGGCTATAATTGAACTGAATGAGTCGTGATTCGATTATGTTCAAACACTATTCATGTTTGTTCACTTATTAATAGAGTTGTCAAAATGGGCTTTCGCCCGCGGGCCAGTCAGAAGCCTCGCACCGCCAATGGAGCAGGTTGGGCCGAGATTTTCTAGGCCTGCTAGAAAGCAGACCTAAACGGGCCAACCAGCGTGGGCCGCAGGTCAGGTCAAGGCGGGGAGGGCCAGCCTACCAACTATTGAAATCTTGAAAAGACTAAATTGCGCTTAACAAGTAAACAATGAAAGTTTACTAAAATGCAGAAGCAATTTAATTGAAAATTGAACTTTGAAGAGAGCATCACACACTCCCTTCAAAAATCTTTCATTGCAACAAGTGTTTGACCCATTAGATTCACTCTTTCTAACCTACTCTGTAATCACTTCATTCAATTACTTTTTCGAGCGACTCCTCGTGAACTTCTACACTACGAATCCCTCGCATCATCCGAAACACCATGAATGTTCAAGCAACTATAAGCTCACGGTTAGGCTGAGATTTTCTATGCCACTAAGGGATGATCTACTGGGTATCCAGTGCTGATATTCGATGGTGGTATCCAATGCAGCTGAACCACTAAACAAAAAGCAACCAAGAGATGAACACAGTAATTATCAGTTATCCATAAAGCCAAGACTACAAAAAATCTTGGATGAAAATATCATATAAAAATAAAAGGGTAATGACAAGATTAAGAGAAAGAGTCTAGAAAACTACAATATCCCTAAGAATACATAAATAAAACCCTGTATCAAGTTATAAACTACAACAGGTATAACCAACCAAACTAAAGTTTAAAACAAACTTCAGCAAAATTCCCAAAGGCAGGCATTCTAGAGCCGCTGCACCCTCTTCTCTAAAGACAAAAGTTGTAAAAAAAAAAAAAAATAGAAATCCTCTGGCAACCAGAAAAACATGTACAGTCTAGTCAACTCACTCACTCAGAGCAAAATGTATGTACACTTACATAAATTAAATCATCTCATCACTCATCCACCGTCTGAATCTCACCCATCATAATACGGTTGCTCACGACATTGAATCCCAAGACTGCCGGGCTCACTTTCTTCCCCTTTTTCCCTTTTTTTTTACCTGCTTTTGTGATGCCCCCATCAATGGCACTGGGCCCACCACCGATATCAGGATAAGAATCAGAAATCATGTCCCCACCACTCAGATTGGCAGTGGTTTTTCGATCATTCCGGTTCTTGAAGGCAGCCTCGACAGCCTCTGCAGGCAGAAAATCCTTGTAGTTCAGGAACTTGTCGATAAACTCATGGTTTGGATCAAACGAGCCAAGATTCTCTATCAGTAGTGTCTCGGCCTCAGACCTCGATATCTTCAGACAGTATTCAAGTATGCTTGTATCTAATGACAGGAGACAAAAACGGTAACATGTGATCAATTTAGCACAAAATCAACATTGCACATTGAAGATGACAGAAAAAAAATATTCTGAACAAATTCATGTGTAATATACTTTTTTGTATTTAAAGGAACTGATCAGAGACCACAATAACAGAAGGAACTAAATTGAGAGATGTGGCAGTTTGAACGTATAGCAAAGTTACTTGATAGGGATTTAAACATATAAGCAAATAAAACGGACAATAAAAAGTAGATAATTTATGTACCTTTGGACCCAATGAGTCTGACGCACTCGCTCTCACACCATTCCTTGAAGTCACTAGCCTCTGTAACAGACAGTACACAATAAATTTATTGCCCATCTTTTTGAAAAAGAGGGCTTGCTTGGGTATAGATTGATTGTGTTTGGATTTTTTTTTTTTTTTTTTAAAAAGTTGGTTGGGTTAAGTTTGAATGGATTTTGAGTTTGCATTAAAATAATATATAAAATAAAATAATTAAAGTTGATTTGATGTAAAAATAGGAGAAAGATGGTGTGAAGTGATGGATGGGTAGTTAAAATTATGTGAGTGGATGAATCGTGAATTAAAGTCGATATGATGTGTAAGGATGACTGATTGGTAGTATTTAATTATAATCATTAATATTGAAGATAGTGGAGTTGAGTCAAAGCTGAGTTAGATTTGAGTTGGGATTGATTTTTTTTTTTTTTTTCTCAAACTTATATCCAAGCATGCACTAAGTGAACTGCCCAAAATGATCTTTTACCTGAATGCTTGGTAGTAGCATTTTTCTTTCCTTTGAGGGATGATTGAGCTGAGGGAGCTGAAACAGAAAATGGATAATCTGCAGCTTTGCCACCAGCAGATTTCTGTCGGTTCAAAATCCCGCTAGGGTTTCCCTTCACAGAGGTGTTTTTGCTTCCCCAACTTCCCTGTGTTCCGAGTTGAGGAAACTCAGACCTGAAGGCAACACAAGTGAGACAATGCCCGTTAATACACAACAAAAAAGGTCGACAATTTTATTTAAAAATGAGAGTCATATGACCTTTATAACACTCATGATTGCAACTATCACAACAGTGCACGCAAAGTTGGACACTCTGGTATTTCTACCGAAAGTACCAAATCAACTGTTATTTTGAAGATGGAACATAATTACTCATCACCCTCATTGGCACCTTCTGAATCCCAAGAATACAAAATGATAAAGGCATATAACTAGCCAGGATCAACTGAAGGATACTTGGTTAAAAATATCCACTCAGAGGCCAGTCCAGACAATATCTATCTACTTCAACAAGTTCTACATCAGGTTAAACTCAGGCTAATAGTGAGCCTGAAGAGTAAGGGCACAAGGAGCTTGCGAAGCAATGTGAATGACTTACTGAAGTGAGGCGCAAAACAAAACAAAACAAAGTGCAAAAAAACATGAATGACAAGGAAAAATAAGATTTCTAACATAGAACTTTGCATAAAGTCGTTCTGTAGCTATTATGCTATTAATTTTGTAATCATCTCATGTTAAAGAACTGGAGAGGGAGAGACAAGCCCCACCTCAATAAAAATAATCATTCTTCAGGAAACATATAGGTTTTTGTGTAAGCACAGGAATACTGTGTACTATGTGCACAGCAATGTGGAGGCAATAAATAGGTAATCAAACAAATAGTAAATCTCAAGAAACAAAAACAAAACAGGGAACAATATTTCCAAAGCAAGCATCAAGATAATAAAAACGCATATCTTAGAAGATGAATGAATGAAGAATCATACTGCTCTTCTGGCTTCGGTTGCTCTAGTGGTCCCCAGAACAGATCATCCTCAACTTTATTATGTTTTGACTGGGAGGAAGCTTGTGATTTAGTCACTGGAGCCGCAGCCTTTGCAGGGGAAGAAGAATGCGACCATGAAGGAACACTTGCACAAGCAGGTTGATTTGTTGCAGGCTTCTGAGGAGTTGGCACCTGCTGTGAAAAAGAAACCTTTTTCTCCTGCTCCTTAAGGATGTCCCTCAATGATGCAGGTTTACTGAGTTTTCCAGAATCAGACCAAGCAGGGGCAGGAGGACTAGAAGACTCCCCCTTCCAGGTAACAAAGTCCCCCAAGGAAGGGCCAGATGGAAGAGGGGGCAACACTTCCTTCTGCTGTTGCATTTGCCGAGCAAGCTTACCTTTATCACTCGGACTTGATCCAACATACACGTCGGTGGCAGTAACTACGGGAGCCACCTTTTTAGCCTTGGCAGATTTTTTACGGCTCTTTTTAGTATCTTTAGCATCAATAAAGTCATCAGCAACAACAGGATCAGTTTGGGAACTCATCATTGATGTTAAAGGCACCCGACTATTGATCGTCTCTAGTTCTCTGTCACCTAAATTGGAAACACTAGTATCCCAGAACAGATCTTCATTTTGGTTATTATTGTTCTTCAGTACAGAGGAGCTGTCAGACTTGGTGAAGTTTATCTCGGTGCTAGGGGGTTCCTGCTGGGATTCCTCCAATGCCTTATAATCTGCATTTGCAACTATTCCAGCCCAAGGGGATGAAACGCTCATGGAGCTTAGAGAAGTTGAGATATCAGAAACTGCCGCTTCCTCCCGTTCACGTGCTCTTCTCTGCTCTTCCTGTTGTATCTCTAGTAGTGATTTTGGCTTGAAACCAGGAGCATGTTTCCATGCCCGTTGACCAGTATTTGCTTGCGTGTTGACCTGTGAAACATGTGCAACTTGTCCTGGCTGAGCATCCGTCTCAGCAGTTACAACATCATCTGCATAATTATGAGCAGGCAATGAGTTTTGGCCTGGTAGGAGTCCCCCATCCTCAGCTGATTTTTTGTTCTTTGCCTTCTCCTTTTCTGTTGCAGATGCTGCAAGTGCATCTCCTTGGGAAGTAAGTGTCTCTGATTTTGCATTATTGGAGGCCGTTCCTTCAGATTCCGATGACTTCAACTGTTGTGACTTGGTCACACCACCCTTTACTGAGTCAACCGGAGCCTTGGAAGAGGACTTTTGCTTCTTCGACTTCTTACCCCGTGCTTCAGGGACTTTAACTTGCTTTACCACAGAGGAATTAGCAGTGTGCTGTTCTTCACTTCCTCCCTGTTCGGATAATTCTTCAGTCGGAGCCTTAGTGATTGCATCCAAAGCTTCATGAAATACTGAATCATTTTTATGATCAACTGTATTTTGCTTCGGCGGGACAGATTTCCCCAACTGTGTCGTGCTTGAAAGATCCGTTGGCAGCTCAACATTTTTTTCTGCTGCAGGAGCATCATCCCAGTCTCTTTGCTTTGGGATATTAGCAAAAATCTGATGTGGCAGATGCATGGAACTTTCTGAAGTTTCTGGCCCTATATTTTGGCTCACCTCCTGAGGATCATTAGGAGACATAACAAAACCAGCATCATTTGCAGTATCACCTCGTATGTTAGGAGCTTGCACCTGTGAACCAGTCTGAAAGATATCATGATGTTGTTCGAAATGGGTGTGATCCACATTAGCATTTCCCGCAGTAAAACCACCAGTTTGCTGCAGCTGGGCAAACGAAGGCTCTCCTGATTGTTTATTCAGCTGACGCTCGGACAGCACTTGCGAGAGCAACTGCTGCTGCTGGCGCATTAACAGTTGCTGCTCTTCCTGCTTCTGTTGCTGCTTAAGCATCATATCCAAAAGTGACAGCTGCTGGGCCGCAACAGGGGCCTGGGGTTGAACCTGCTGTAGCAAATACTGCTGTTGCAACAAACTTAAAATCTGCTGATCTTGAGGAATACCAGAAGCAAGGAGATTCTCCGGAGAAATTATCCGAGATGAATTATCCAATGATTGGGCTAATAGATTACCCAAGTGTGTGTTCTGTGGCTGCTGTAGCCTCTGTTGCAATATACCAAGGGCAGATTGTGAAGGAATATTCTGTGCATGACGAACATCCAACTTATCCTGAAGTGGGTCCAAACCCACTTGGGTCGGGAAATTCATCCAACCACTAGCCCCATTGTTGGCAGCTGGTACAGATCGGTCAAGTAATCCTGGATGGGCAGGCAATGACTCCATATTCTGAGAAAGATGCTGTGCACGAGCATTGTCTGTAACAGTAGCTGCATCTCTACCAGCCCAAAGTGAGTAAGGATTTGGTACAGGCCTCTGCCTCTCCAATGCCAACTTCTTAGCCAGTAAATATGGATCTTCCCCACTGTTTGTTCCCAATGGTGGCTGTACAATAAAATTAGCTCCAGCATACCCCTGCATGCCTGTTTAAAACGAACAGCTCATATCAAAGAGAAATATATTATATACTATCACAAAACAAAAACCTAGTGAATAACGAAAATAAACAGACCTTCTGAAAGAACAAGCTTTTCAAATGGAGTTGTACTCATACCGCCAGCCATCAATGACTCCAAAAACCTATTCTCAGCCTCCGTTGTGGAACCCATACCCTGTTTATATCTCGAATCATTTTGTAATAAATCAGCCTCACCCGCAACCGCATGTAGATTCCCAACATTGGTATAGTTTAATCTACCAGAGGTGTCCTGGATTTCATTTGGTTTGGGAGTATTAAATCCAGGAGGTGGCCGAGCCTTGGCACGCAAATGGGGCATCACATCTCCAAGTAAATAAAAGGGGGAGTCAACCGGAGCATTGGCCAGACGAACTTGCAACTCAATGCCAAAATATCCCGACTCAAACCATGTAATGATATCATTCCCAGTAAAAGGGCCTTGAACTTCACCCTGAGGATCTTTATAGAAAAGAACTAAGTCTTCAGGAGAAGGTTGAGAAATTATATGTGATTCCATCTCCCTGTTGATAGCTGCAGGTGGTTGCCTTCCCAAAATTGGATCGTCACCCACCTGCCATCTGGGTGCTCCTTTACTGGTATTAGGTGAATCAATCATACTGTTCTGCCAAACATTGTTAAGATCTTTCGGAATATCCAGAGAGCCTTCTCTCCAATCAGAAGCTAAACGTGAGCGGTCTGTCAAAGATGAAGATCTCCATGAACCTGTGCGAAGTGAAGAATTTTCCGGGGTACTAGATTCTCTGGCACCAGAACCATCATCATTCTTCCTATGAACAGCACTGTCTTCCTTTAAAGCTGAATACAAAGAGAAATAATAATAATAATGAGATGATTAAGCCATTAAAAATAAACACTAAAAGATATCAGGTTAGGACGAAATGCTGGAAATGGAATATCACGAAATGCTGGAAATGGAATATCAGGTGAAGTAGATCCATAACAGATACAGTCTACAGAATTTTCAACAAATGATTCGGTGACGATGTGGGAATGACAACATTGATTGATTTGCAAATCAAATGCTAATTAAAGAAGTGAATGTCAATTTTCTGAATCCAACCTAACTTCGCTGCATAGTCTCCAACAAGAAAAATGAACCACCCATCAGATTTACCTTCGACATTCAACTTGTGGTCAGAAGAGGTCCTATACTCTTGCATTGTCTCAACTTTCACATTGGGCCATCGATGAATGTGTTTTCCATGGACTGGAGCTTCCGAATAGTCTGAGTAACCATCAGGATTGCTCGAAGTGCCATGTTTAGAATCATCCAGAGGAAAGGTCAAGTCATCCTTACCACCGCCTGCTCAGGCCAATCAAAGCAACAAAAAAATGAAGAGTGAGGATACTCAACAACAAGACTAGTCAAAAGACAACATGAAAAACAAAAAAGCTAAAAGCAAGTAATACATAATATGTGCATTACCTAGCCTGTTTCTTCTCGTTTGCATTAAGTCAGTTGTAGTACGGCCTGCCGATCCATCTTTACTGACCTGTGGAGCACCACTACTATTGATTTCTCCTTTGTCAATTCCCTTCAGAATAGCCTACGAAGAAGAAACCCTTACAATCAAATTATAAACCAACAGTATATCCAACCTCCTTCAGGTGAAAAAAAAACAGGAATTACCAATTCTTCAGGAGTTGGTGCAAAACAAGCCAGTGGTTCGGTAGGTTCTTCTCGAGTAAGTGAAGGTACTTCAGAGACACCCTCCAAACACTTACGTCCGTAGCCTGTCATATCAGTTGTCCTGTATATATCAATCAATTTTGTCCTGCTATAAGTCAGACGACCGGGCCCTCCAAAGCCGGTTTCACCTTTCTCCACGAGAGGTCCACGTGGCTGCAAATGATTGGCCGTGTGGGTAACCAAATTCCCCCCAGACCCGACCCTTCCCCTGCCATGGGACACAACAGGAGCTGGGCTTTCCCCACGCCCCCGTCCATGCGAAAAGGTGGAAACCTGTTTGCCAGGTGTCAAGGTCTGGTGATGAGGGTCCCCCCTACCCCGACTGTAGGAAGAATTTGGCCTCCACGGCCGATAGTGTTCCCCACCCTCCCTCTCTTCCTTCCCATGAGAAGGAGGAGCTTGGGTCGACCCCTTATCAAGGAAAATGTCCGCCTCCTTGTCATCGTGGCCCCACCGAGTGTTCCACTTGCTCTCACGGCGCTGATCATGATTGTCTCGATTTCCCGAGTCAGTCCAGCGCTCGCCGGGGGCCCTGCGTGCTGCTTCTCCATAGTGCCTCCCACCAGATGGGTCGGGCTTGCGGTCAGCCCTGCGGCTGTCGGGGTGCAGATCTCTCTCACCCTCCCTCCAGCGGTCCTTGCGGGTGGAGAAATTCGCGTCCCTTTCTTCATCGTGCCAGCGGTCCCTGCGGCCAGGCTCCATGTCCAGCACCGAAGGACGAAAAACGTCTTTCTTCTTAGGGTTATCAACCGAATCATCTCCCACTCCAGTTGGTTTAGCAGCAACAGGGAGGTTGGCATGACCGTGGAGAGAACTGAAATGGTTCTCCTAGAAAAAAAAGGTAAATTAAAATAAAATGTAAAACAAGGCATACGGACAGAGAAGTTCGTCAAAAAAACTAATCAGGTTCGGAGAAAATGATGAGCAATTAAATAAAAAGAAAAGATGGATCACAACAAACCCCGGTAACAGCTTCAGCCTTGTTGTCCCCTGGCTTTGGCAGAAGCCACTGAGGTGAAAGCGGGATGCCACTGTCAGGTCCTTGCATATCTACATAAATCATGAAGAGAAAGAAATAGGACCTTCGATGGATGAAACCTCAAACCAAATACAAACTGAGGCTGGTAAATAATCATCTTTGCATGTTGGAGTGAGTTTATTATTTCTGTTACCGGTAATCACACCGAATACATCTTCACTATCAGGAAGAAAAATCAAGTAAGATGGAACTCTTGCAATCAGGGAGTCTTACACTTTATATAACGTAAAGAAACAATGATACAAAAGCGTATTATTATTAAGTGTACCATCTAATAAGCTCTAGAACGTTACAGAAATTTCTATGAGCTTTAAAATAATCCGAGCACCTTTTTAAGTCTTTCAGACATGTCGAAAATACAAATAAAATGTAAAGCTTTAACAAATCAACTTTTCTAGTTCGTCTTCATATTGTATTCATACAGTACTTTATATCACAATATACTTCTCCTGGGTACCATTAGCCTGGAAGAAATGGAGGCATCATCAAGTAATCAGCTAGGCATGACTACACTCAAACGGTTGTCGTCAATCCTGAAGGTCAAGTCACAAAATGCCCAGGGAAACGAAAAAAGAAAATGATAAAAGCAATGGAACCTTACAACACACTAGCATTTAGTATATCTAAAATCACTGATATTATAAGCATATTACACAGAGGTAGTTTATAAACTTGGGCGAGTAAATTTTAAATTTTCAGATTATATCATTCTACAAACCAGACCACAATAGAAATTAACATATTAACCATACAATAAATTTAGCAGCTTTATCCTTAAAACAAGAAGCACTCAGCTGCATCCCAAAAACTGAGATAAACAATATTCATGCTACATAAAAATGCCAGCGAAACAGCTCATCAACATCTGGAAAATCGGAATCTAAAAGATTACGAACAGCCCTATTCTCAAAATGGAGAAACTAATCACAAAAAGAGAGAGAAAGAGAGAGAGGTTTTATCAATATAAAATAAGAACCCTAAACCACAAACAACACCACGAATGCAAGAGGCCTGGTTATTAGGGTTTTGCATAAAACTAAATCAATCGAAACGGAAACACAATCCAACAGATACTAAACGAAGAATGCGAGAAAAACCAAAAATGACCTTTCGGGATCTGATTTGGGCGAGAATCGAACTCAGTCTTGTCAGCCATTGATGATCGGAATGAGGAACAGAGATGATTTTAGAGAGAGAGAGCTGGAGAGAGAAACCCTTTCGATTGACTGCTTGAAGGCGCAATGGAATTAGCAAAGGCGGGGCGTGAAATATAGGGCAAAGGCAAAGATAAATCAGAAAAATCCCAAGCATTCAAAGGGTTTGAGTTAACGGCGCGTCACTCACACGCTCGCGTTATCAGGAGGGGGTTGAGTTAATTATCACTTTATACCCGCACGCGCGTCTAAATGTCCGTGTGTCCACCTCCAAATTATGTGACCCCTTTGCCCTTCAACTGTTCATTAGTCCACATGTGAACAAAAGCAACCAAAAAATCGGGCCAAATTGTGTAATTTGTTGCAATTTGGTTCGGTTCATTTTGTAATGAAAAGTTTTGGGCCTTTTGGCTCAATTTTATTTTACTATGCTATGGAATTGTTCGATTTTTCGCAAGTTCTTTTCATTTCTTGGGTTCGATTTGATCAATGAATCGAACAAATTGCATCCAAATATATAAAAAAAAATTGAGTTCATAATAAAAAAATTGAATTGAAATGTGCATTCGCTTTCAATTTGATTGTTCAAGTATAAAAGATTTTTTATTGTGCGGTTCGATTTTTTCGTCTGGATTATTATTATTATTACTATTATTGTCGTTGTTGTTGTTGTTGTTTTAGAAATTCAGTTTGCAAACCGCCTACATCGTCACTAGCTAGAATCACACGCCCAAAGAAGGAATTGTATGGTGCAAGTAGTTCGGTGCTACTGCACTATGTGAAATTGATCCAACAGCATTGCTAAGTACCTAGTAACGTGTTTTAATCTAGCAGCATAAACTGCGAGCCTATTTGTTTTTCGAAATAGGAGTGGACTATGGATTGTACTATCCAGATTAAATTAAACTTATGTTTGTTATTTATGATTGGTAGTTCAAATGGGATATTGTTAAACTCACACTTTATAATTTTGAGGATATAATGTACATTGTCAACTTTGCCCTCATCTTCTAAAAATAATTTTTTTAGAACTATTGTAGCAAAATCTTAATTTTGTCAAATCCCAAAGCAGAATTTTTGAGTTTGCCTAGTCTATTTTTTTTCCTGAATTTTTGTCATTTTTCGTCCTCCGATTTTAGTTCCTTTATCTCCCTGCTTTGCTGCAACAATTATGTATATATCTCTCTTATCTATACATGAAGGAGTTAGACTATTTGTGGTGTTGACAAGTGTCCAATTTAGGCACTCTCAATGGCCTATAAGTGTCCACATTTTATTACTTTTATGTCATTGAGTTCACGTTTATTTTCTCTCAATTGGCTTTAACTCTTCATTACTGAATTGCCCATAGTTGACTCTACTTTTAAGTGGTGATCATAATTTTATATTTGTTTTGTTTACTGCTGAAGACTGCCGCTCTCACACGCAACCATCACTTCACCCACCAAATCGAATACAATCTTGGAAAAGCAAGCCTCTCCCACATGCACATTCTCAGTCACAACTAAGAAATTCAATCTCTCTTTTTTCTTACGCAAAGCACCCACGACTCGTCGCCGACAATCGCTTGGCAGATCATGGCTACACGTGTCGGCTGGAGAAGATAGGTTAAAGGCGACAGAAGATTAAAGCAACGATCGAGGATGGTGTGTGGGCAGGATCGGTCAGATCTGGCCTTATCGGGCATCGGGGACCCCGATCTGTGCGATGCAATCATCAGCGGCAGCGTCACTTACAATGGCGGCGGCGTTCACGGTGCGGACTCACGCACCTGCACCAGTGAGTTTTGCCTTTTTTTTTTATTTATTTTTTTAATTCTGTGTCGGGTTTCTTGTGATTACGGGCTTTGTAGAAAACTCAATGAGAACCTTCTCTTTCGGTATAAATTGGTTGTTTATCTTGTTTTGTATCAGATTATGTGCGTTGATATCTTTGGTCCTTAGTAGGGAAATTCGACCAGCCGCATAGTACAAGCCGGTTGTGAGCAAGTGATGGTGCAAAGCAATTTGCAGATTGGGACGGTTCGAGAGTTGAATTTTAAATTGTGACTTTTGGACCAGAGTGAAAAGATGATATCACTCCTTCACAGCTATCTCCAGGCTTTATCTGACTTAATGGCGGTGAAATAAGAAAATTGAGGTTTAATTTAGCTACCTTTTCTCATTTTATACTTTTTTTCTATCTTTTTCTTTAGATAAACATTAATTTAAATGTGAGTTCCCAAATTTGCATATTGAGATTTGTATCTGCTTGGGTTGTCACGGATATCTATTTCCAGATTTTAGGTTTTGATGCTTGGTCTTTTGATCTGTTGCCTTGATTAAAAATGGTTTTGTGGATTTTCAATGAAATCTTTCAATATATTTGTTATTTTGTTTGTGCGGATAGGCCGTTGAAATTAAACTACTAAGGGCACTGAACAAAGAGGATTTGAAGAAGATTTGTGTGAATAATTGTCTTGAGTGGATATCGTTTACTATTTTCGAGCAGGTTAGGTTCTGAATTCCGTTTCTTCTTTTGATGCGACATTAATCTTTCCGTCACCTTCGAAACGAAGCCCCCTGCCTCAGGTTATGCAAAGTCCTGTTGTTGATTGAGATTGGTTATGGAAAGTCCTTTTGTTGATTGAGATTGGAAAATGACTTCTATTTGTTATAGATTGTATTGGTTGAGCTACTGATTATCTACATTGAGTTCTCATTACTTTCTTAATGGAACTTTTTTGACTTTAAGGTGATGATGGTCGTACTGTCAATTGGATTACCCTTAACCTTCGTACTCATCTTAATGGCATGTTTGCTGCTGGCTATGTGCAGGTATAATTTATTTGTCGTAATTATATATATACTTTCCAAAATTTAATTGAGTTTTCTTACTAAAGTTTCTTGTTTGTATCAAACTTTGCGATTTTTTTTAGTAGGACCATGAATGGAGACAAGCTGTAACTGCAGCTGGATCGGGTTGTATTGTGGCTCTATCAGTCGAGAGATACCTTATGAGCGAAAATATGCTGATTGAATTTCACCAGGCATGTTATTATTTTCTTTGGCCATTTGGCTTATGTATGTTTTGCTAATCAGTTTCGTGTGATTCTTGGAGAGTCGAGATTTGAGAAATGCTCTCTATATAATTAGCGGAAAGCTCATCATTGCACTTTTTAAAAGGTTACAGTTGTTCAGAATGTGACTTGCATTTCATATTATCTATTACTATATAATACGGAGAAGAAAAATTATTTGAACAATTCGAAAATAATCATTTCGTTTTCCCGCTTCAATATAGTGTTTTTCCCGCTTCTTCAATTCGTAAATTTTTTTTTTTGAATTTTTTCAGCCCATGCAATTAGGTAACCAATCAAATCGAATCTTTTAGCATTCAATTTGGTAAGGTGTTCCGATTTTAGCATTCAAATCCGATTTCACTTCCTTTTTTTATGTCAATCAATCCGATTTTTTGGTTGTTTCAAAATTTGTTTAGATTTATATTTTTATTTTATTAATATATTTGAAAGAGAATCAGTAAATGTTTATCATAACTTTTATTTTAAAAATAAATTTGTATAAGCATACCTTTTACTTTATATGAAATTCAAAATTACATATTTTAATATATTAATAAACGTTTATTATTTATTTTTTCCTTATGTGATATAATAGAATTTCGGTATTAAATTTGTAAATTTAAACATTTAAAAGAAAAGATTCCAAACATTTTTTTTGGGTAAATTTCATTTTATCTTGGTTTTCATTATCACATTTCTAACAAACTAATTAATATTATATTTTTTTATCTACATTATCTAACCGATTTTTTATGATACAATTAATATAATATCATAACAAATTAATCATTTGTCTAACCGGATTTATCTCTCTAACAAACTTGCCAATTTTTTAAAATTAAAATGGTATGATTATTCTTGTGGAGATACTTATCAATATATTAAATATTTAGAAACTTTTTTAATAAATGAGTTATCCCTCCTTTTACTTTATTTGAAATTCTGACTTATATTTTTAAATATATTATTATTTATTATTTATTATCTAAGTGATAAATATTATTGATTTATCTCTTTAATAAATATTTATTATTTATTTTTTTTCCTTACGTGATATAATGTAAATTTGGTTACTAGATTTTTAAATTCAAACATTTAGGAAAAAACCACGAACAAATTGTTTGGTTACATTTTATTTTATTTTAACTTCCATATAATCACAATCCTAACAAACTAATTAGTATAATATTTTTTACCCATTTTTATATAATCGGATTTCTTAAAATATTATTAATATAACATTTTAACTATTTAATCATTTGTATAACTTGATTTAACTCATTATCAAACTTGCCAATTTTTTTTTGAAATTACAAAAAAATTTGGAAGATTTTTATTTGTAAAATAATAAAAAATAGCTTTACTTTACATTCTGGAATATTTCCATTATTTTTTGTACGTTAACAATCATATATTTTGGATTATTGATTTACAAAAACAAATCAAAACCGCAAGGTTTAATAATATTCCTTAAATAAAAAATATTGTATAAAGAAAAGTATTTAATATTATATATTTTTCATTGATTGTATTTATTTTATTTTCATAATAGACGAGATGTGAAAAATATAAATAATTATATTTAAAATAAAGTCTAAAAAATGTTTAAAATATGAACTCTTCCGTGCATCGCACGGGATATACACTAGTTATTGAATATAAAGATTAGTTTGATAATATCCCAAGGATTTGGGACCTTATCATTTTTCTATTTTTCTAATTTTCTTTTTGAATAAAACCAAAGAAGCTTCCTGCACTTTTAAGGTGGTCTTTTGAGTCACTAGCACAACTTAATCAATTCCAAAACAAAAGAGCTTAAAATGTTAGTTTGCACTTCACGAAGTCAATAGTTATAGTTGTCTTACTGTGTGTCTGTGTATTTGTTTTTGGATCAAGTATGTGTGTGTATATGGGTACATCATAGTTCCAAATGGGTGGTAAATAGTTTCGATCATTTCCCTTTTATTTATTATTATTTTTATTTTTGTGTTTCTTTTGACTGTTGAACAAAATGCAGCCAGCAACTGAGGAGGTTAAGAAATAACTTACCGACCAGGACGTACAAGAAATAGCTTCACTCTGTTTCGTGTAAGGATCGTTTTTCTTTCGACAAAAAGTTAAAGAATTGATAGCTTTTTGGAGTTCAAAGGTAGCAACTTTTGTCATGCTTGAAGAATTTAGTGAAATGTTTTTAATTTTTAATGCTTTGCTATTTGCTCATGGTACTATTCTGTTGTGTCTGGTTTGAGATTGTTTTTTTTGGATTAAAATAAACTCGAATGTACATGGCGAGTAACCAAATGGATACAATGAGATCATAATCAAGTATAAACCCGATTATGAAAACAATAGGGAAGACACAATCAAGTGCCAACCTAAGGGACCAAACCAGGCCACAAAAGTCGAAGAAAAAAGCAAAACTAGGAAAACAATACAGGACACGGAGAAGATCAGAAAACATAAATTAGACTAAGGGAGAAATCGAACAGGACTTAAACAAAGAGAAGAGGATTTTATATCCTCCACCAAAACAGAAATGTCCCAGCTGCAAGAAGAGTGGGGTTGAGCATGTTCAAAAGCTCCACATCCGCAACAACTGTCTCCACTCTCTCCCAGCCTTTGTCTACTCCCTGTTCAAGTCAAGCTCTCATCTCCAACAAAATATCCTCCACTGGTTGAAGCTCCCTGGAGTGAGTCCAACTGTCAACCTCTGAACCTGCTGAGAAGGCTGAGATTTGCACCTTCCAGTTCACTAATTTTATGGCAGAAACACTGGCACCTTCCAGTCTGGTTTGAGATTGTCATTTTGTGGATTTGTTCTTTCTGCCAATTATTTGGAAAAAAATGTGTTTTTTGATTGAAATGTTTGGTACCTCATGCTTGATGAAATTCTGCAATGGCGAAAAGAGGTTGGCTCACCTGTTGAAATCAAATTGAGATATGGCCCAATTTGGTGGACACATGTCTGTTGTTAGCTTAAGCAACAAAAATAACAAAAATAACACAGCCAGTATTTTGAGCTCACACTCTCTGCAAGAAGACATGGACTTTCATTCAATTGTAGTGAGGCTTTGAGTCATAAATTGAGGATTTTAGATGCACATGCCTTTTTGTCGAGATCTAAGAGGAAGTTATCTGTTTAGAAAGTATGCCTACTCTTCAATGTTTATTAAAATTGATTTGGATAATCATTAGTGGATGAAGAACAAACTTAGTTGATTCTAAGTATATGTTTATTGACTTGGTTGTTTGTTTTCATTGACTACCAAAGACCGTGACTTGATAACACAGTCAACTTTTTGGAAGTTGCTTAGTAGTTTTTTCTTTGTCTTCTCATCCTGAAAAACCATTGGAAGTGGTCGCTGGTGGTCCAAGTAGAGAATATATGTAAAGAATAACATCAGTAATATAAGAAAGGATCTATAGGCAATGTCAAGTTAATGAGATCTTTATGGTGAAAGATTACGTAATATATGTATAAAGTTGCAACAACTGTCCAAAAAATTGTGTAATGAGGTCTTTTATGGTGAAAGATTATTTAAAAAAAATGTGTAATGAGGTCTTTTATGGTGAAAGATTATTTTGTTAACAAGCAGTACTGAAAAGGATACAACTTCTTATAAATCTTTGTGCATAATTTGTCAAGCTTTAGAGAGTGCCTGCTGTGGTAAAAATTGGAGACTTCATACGTGCGCTCAACCAAAGAAGTGAGAAGTGAAATTACATTATATACAGTTAATATCATTCATGTCGATGCAACATTTTAACAAAACAACAAATGCAAAGAAAAAGTATCAAATTATGACTAATAATTATCAATTAATAAACAATCTGCATAAAAATTAAATTACAGTCGACTACATTCAAACAACATACGAACATTAATTTTAAACTTTAACAGGACACAACAAAACTATGTGTAAATTACCGTCGTATACTTTGTTATTAATTTAAATTGTGCAAGAATTTCAAATGAAAGTCAAACATCATCAAAATTTATTAAACATGAACTTCATTTGTATCAAATTTAATAACAATGTTTAAATATATATATATACAAATCCGACTGATCATTTCAAGGGACGTCAAATTTTCACTAGATTTTATAGACTAAATTTGAGCCGACCGTGCGTGCACGGCCGTAACACAACTAGTAAATTTTGGATACAAGTCAGACAATTTCAGCCATGATTTGCGCTGCTCAAAAGCTTAATTGCATCTCCCATGAAAGTCAGATTTGGATCAATGTTAAATTTGTGATTACTTTTTGTCCCACACATATGTGTAACAAAGATGTGTAGAATTTTTTAATATAAATAGATCCCTTGCCTTTGAATTACAATTGCACCTTGTTCAATTCTATTATATATAAGAATGAAATCCTTAATTAAGAAAATCTTAATTTAAGGTTATTTAATTCTAGTTGTATTTTGTTGGTGAATTTAGTAAATTTGGCATTGCAGTTGGCAGTGCCAAAAAATGTAGGCAACTTTTGCGGTAGCGTTTTGGTAAGGTTTGAAATTGTAAACCTGTAACTTTTTGGTTAAAACGTGTAAAATGGAAGGTGGCTTTTGTAACACAGCTTTACAATCTCGAAGCTGTGTTTTTTAATTTCTTTTAAACCAACAAACAAAGCAAAAAGAGGAGTTATGTTGCACTCCACAATGAATTTGAAAGAATTGTATACACGCGCCCAACTAGACGTGATTTATAGGGCCCACCACATCAAACTACCTCCAACTTTTTTTATCACTTTTTTTTTCCAATTTTTTCAGTTTTCTTTCCAATTTCTCTTAATTTAATTGTTCCCACTAAATCAGTTGCTTCTTTAATTCTTGTTTCGAACATTTCATAGTAATTTCTAAGCAATACTTGTTGGGATCTGTGAGGATCTCGTTATGTACAAATCACGAATTCAATAGCAAACGTAAACCTATGCGCAGCGGATCTAAAGGTTTGACGTAGAGAACTTACGGCTTAAAATTTATGTAGATCTGGTTGACCACGAACGGTTG